CAGAAAGAAGCTGTTGAGGGATAAGCTACTGGCAAACTGAGAACTCAGGAGATTTTAGTTTACAGGATACTTGAGGCAGAGATTGTCTTGTTTACTTTCCTTTATGTAGTTTCAGCACTTGACAAATAATCTGCAGGCTAGTAACATTTGGTGTTAGCTCCTTAGCCTTGACTCTGATTAGGCATATTTTGGCTTTACAGCTGAAAATTACTTACATCTGCATTGCCTTCCAAAAACATTCCCACTCCACCCAAATTCTACGGTTGTGCTAATTGCTGGGAACAGCTTAATTTCAAGTTGAGCATCGTCCTGCAGAGCTCTTTCTCCTGGTAATAACTTCATTTCCCTTGCAGGAGGGAGCGCTTAGATGCCTGCATCTGGAGGTTTCTCATGTCTGTGCCCAATAATCAGGAAGGAGCAGCCTGCAGACCTGTGCTAAATGAGCTCGTGCTGCAAACCACGTCGTGTACCGTGATGGTCGAAACTGGCGATTCATGCTAGGCTTCTGAAACTGTTACGTTCTTGCTTAGCATATTCCACAATTTAACATGCAAAGTGTTTTATGTCTACTTATTTCCACAGTCAGTCTTATTTTTTAAGTAACAGGATTAAAGGTATAATTGTAAGCCATTTATTTCATTTCAACTCTTTCATCATTGTGAAGCTGCTTGGGGAAAGTGGATGAAAATGGCTGTTTCCCCATCCATCCAGGCAGCATTGACATGGGATGAAGTTTCCCAGCTATTAGAATGTAGGAGTTGAAACCAAATTTGGTGCTCTAATAAGATGTTGGAACAGTCTGGTCAAGGAGCTGGTGGGACTGAAGTGCTGCAGAAAGTGTTGGGAAATGGTGCCTTCCTTGTCACAGACTTCACTGAGGGGATTTGTTGCTGCCTCTCATTCTTTGACCTTGAAATTCACGTGTGTGCAAGGACCACAGAGAGGTACAGCCTGTCCTGTTCTGAGAGTATTAATTGGAACTGAGATGTGTGAGCTTCGAGTGAGCTGCCCTTCTCCTGCTGGTAGTGAATTCCAGTGCTTTCTTCTTGTGGCTTAAATGCATTCATCCCTCTTGCTGTCCCAAAAGCATTTAGATTGATAAACTCTTATTATTGAAATGACAACTCTGAAACATCTGGAAATGTTGAAGTCGGGATGTTAATTGGATATAATCTCTGACCTTAGTGTAGCTTAAGTAAAACATTTCACTGCAAAACCTGAAAAATGCACCTGATGCTGTTCTTTTTTAGTGGCAACGAGTTTCATATGACTGTCATGTCTTGTTCTGTGCTTTAAAAGCTTTTTGTTTGAGCAGAATGATACATTCAGTAATTCATTTTCTTACATGACAGATGAGGCTAGCGATCTCTTTTAATAGATAGCTGCAAACCTGAGTAATTACAATTCCACTGGGAACATGCAACACACCAGTTCTCAGAGATTCTCTCAAAGTCTAATTTGACACCGAAGAATCCTGTTAGCACTTTGTATTCTATATTTTCTATGCTAAACTGTTAATAAGTAGAACACTTTGACTAACAAATACATTGAGCTTAGGGAAATTTTCATCTATTTTTAGTGATTTACAAAACCAGAGAAGATTATTTGTAGGTGGTCCCCTCAGTGGTTGTTTCCTCTGTGGCACTGAATTCTTTGCTCGTGTGGCTTATGTGGTGATGCTTTCTGTGTCCATATGCTTTTAGTTCTCACTTGCCAGTAACTTTTGAAGTCAGTGCTTGTTCTGGATGCACATAATAGGGAGAACTGATCCATAGATGCCAGTTTCCTATAACTGGCATGAAAGCAAGCAGTACAGAAGGAGAGAAATAGGGGAAGACAAGAGTACGAGGTTCACATGTCCTGAAAAACAGCAGACAATCCATATGAAAGACTAAGTGTTTGAATTCCTTAAGCATGGGAAGAATGTCAGTAAGGTGAGAAAGCAATCTTCAATAAAGGTTATGTGCCTGGGAGGCAGACCCATTGGTCTTGGTTCTGCTCGTTCTGGAGGTAGAAGGAAGAAGCTGATGGTTACTTATTCATAAGTTAAGGAGAAAAGCAGTTCCTGGAAGGTGTACTTCCAGGCAGTTATTTCATCCTGCGAGCAGTTAATGATGAAAGTGTGCATTGCGTAGGATCTAACACATAAATGTGGTTCTGTGTTGAAAGCTTCTGAAACTGAATTGACATGGCCTTTGTTAATTTTCTTTCTCTTCTCAATTTTCTCTTTTTTCTCCTTCTGTCCTAGTAGTCTTGGAAAGCTTCCCTTAGCTGGGAAACTAACATCTAGTGACCAGAAGATTATAGTTGCCAGAGGATAAACTGGATTTGACTTCATTAGTGCACAAATGATAAGCTTGTGAGGAGTTATTATGGCATTAATCAACTTGATGGATTGGAAATATGACAGAACTGAAGCGGCGTGTAATATTAGTGCCTATTATTCTACAAATTATGTCTTCACCTACATTCGTAAAGCAGGAGTCATTGCCATACACATTACTCCTTTTCTCCTCTTGCACAGGCTTGTGGTGCCCCTCAGTGACTTCTTCCTCTGTCCCCAGCAGGTTCTGGCCTCTCCGAGCTGCAGATTTTGGCCTTGCAGCAGTTGTGAGGCTGGTCTCTGATTTTAGCTCGTCCCTCATCAGCCTGGACATGAAGAACTGAAGGCTTTGGTTCCAGGCCTCTGAGCACGTGGCCACCTTGTCCACACGTGTGTGCTTGGAGTTGGGAGCTCCTCTGGAGACTGGTAGATGCTGAGTGCAGGGCTGCTGTGCTTTCTTTCACATAGAACTGCTGAATTTTGGAGTTCAGATGTTCAGATAAGAGAGGCTGAGATTTTTATGTGACTGTTCTTGTTTCATTTACTTGTTAAAAGACAAATTTTAGCTCACAACCGTGTGCTAGATGAGTGGGTGCAAAGGTGTAAAACTGCCCATGTGCTTTCCTTCCCTTTAGCTTGATGTGTGCTCCTGTATATACTAAGATTGGTGGTAAAAGCTTCATACAATGAGTGACCGAGTTAGGGTCAGATCCTCAGCAAATACAGTTTGTGAAAATCTGTATTTGATCAGTAGAATGTGGGAGGAAATTGTGAGCAGATAAAGGCCAGCAAGTTACAAAAACATTCTGCTTGTGTTTTGGTTTATAACGCAGATGCAGAATGCCTTTGCAGTTGTGTCTGGTTGGACTGTGTGTGCCAAGAGGCTGTGATTTGTATTGAGGGCTGCCTGGAGCTCAGTGCCAAGATCAGACTGGAATTAGTGTTTGAACTTCTTGAAACAGACTTAGCTCTCTTGTTGGAAAAAGAAAAGTTCATTTAATTTTTGTGGGCCTGAGACATGTCAGCCACGTGCCTGTTCTTCTAGCGTGGGACAGAATCCAAGAACTGGATGTAAATCTGGCACGGCGATCTGAAAACAGGCAAAAATTATGGGTGGAAATGGGCGCATGCAGTTTGGAGTTCTCAGTGCCATTTTGGGCATGGAAAAAGGATGCTCTCTGTTTGCTGGCACGGTGGGGTGTTGCCATGTACAAGAGCAGTGTGCCTTTTGTGGCTTACTTCTGTAAGTGTTCCAGAGGTCAGCACTGTAAGTTTGCTAAAGTCCAGCACTAGCTTTCTTAATTTCCTCATTACTTTTGTTCTTGCAAGACTTGAGTGGATCTGAAGAAATGTATTTTAGATAAATTATTTTGAATGCTTAAGGTTGCAGTACCGCAGATGATACCTAGTCTCTCTTTATTCCAAGAAGTAAATGTACTTCCATCTCAAGAATTTTTACTCCAGGGCAAAACTTTAATGGAGGAGTGTAAAACCAATAACTGCTACAATAAAACATAAAACATTTCTTCCTGACAAGTAGAGGTGATTAGTTGCTTTCTCATGCCCCTGCTAGTGTGGCTTTGGTAAGCTCTGTGCCTTCATGTTAAAGGTAGCGACCTTTGCGGGACTGCGCATAGTGATACAAGCTTTCCAGCTGTGTTACTTCCATACAAGTTTCCACATCTTTGGTATTTTCTTGGAGCTTGAGGACCAAGGTACAAATAATGACCTTACTGAAGCTGGTGGCAGAATTCTGTTTGAAGCACGCATAGTTATTTAGACACCTCATTGCTTTAAAAAGCAATCTTTGTGAGGCTAAAATACGACATACCTAGTTGGGATCAAATCCAGGTTTGAATTGGTATCTAAGAATAGATTTCTAAAATGAATTTAACAAAGAATGCAACAGAGACATTGCACACAATACAGTGACCCATCCTAATGCTAATGTAATCGGTGCTCATTAGCAGTTTATTATTTTTGCCTTCCCATAAATTCATGTGGAATATGATGAACTGCAACGGTTCTCAGTTGGAAGCTGTCATTGTCTTCTGTTTCTTTGCTTTGCGACTGATGGTGCAGGTTTTGTTAAATGAATATTGCCACTGCAGTGCCAGGGCTGGCCAGTGTTTAATTTAAGGCAGGAGGCAGCCCGGGTCTTGGTGGGGTTCATCTTGTGCCCGCACACCTCGCTCTTTGGGTACAGCATCAGGCCAGTTGGTCACAGAGCTCTTCCATTTCCCCAGAGCATTCTTCCTGTCTGGTTTTGAGGTTCTTGCTTCTCTCTCTGTGATTTCTTCTGTTATTTCCAGAATTCATTGTTTTGTACCTTAATAAATAATTGCTCAAGTGGCCAGAGTTGTGACGGGAATGTGCACAAGGACGCCCTATGGCAGAGGAAGCTGGCTGCTTTTGCTGTGTGGTGATTGCGAAGCCATTCTGCAACGTAGCTTGGGTTTTAGCTTTGTCTGCAACGTTTAGTTTTGAGGCTTAATTTTCTGCCCTGTGTTGCGCCCCTACGAGCAGAAGAGAGTGGGAGGGGGACATCTCAGGGCAGATCACATCTCACGTCAGCTCTTTGCAGTTTGAGTTCTGCTCTAGGTAATGTTTGTGTTCTGTTAGCATCTGCAGTGCGTTGTTGTTTGGCTTGCCTAATTAATTCCTCTTCTTTCCGCAGCCGCAGAGCCTTGGCCTGAAAATGCTGCGTTGTATCAGCAGCTGAAGGGTGGGTACGCTTTTCGCAATTAGTAATTACTCTATTTTTAAAAACCTATTAAATGTGCTCGAAGATAATTAACTGCGAGGAAGCACAGCAACTGTTAAGAGCCCTTTGTGTTGTTTGTCTGGTCAGAGGTTTGAGCTACGCTTACATCTGCCAATATAAACCAGCTATTCATGGCCTATAAGGTCCTTGGTTTATTATTGACTCATTATATTGGCTGCTGTAGGCAGTGTAAAATGATGTGGTTGCAGGCACAGTTGGCAGATTTACTGCACCAATAGCTGAGGCAGCAGATTTTTGAAGTCTTGTGGTAAAGTGGGCTCTCAGTAAAAAGGAACTGTTAAAATGTATAGGCTAGGATGGTTCAGGCTCCCTTTAGCAGCTCTTCATATATCATCAGATCACATTATGGCCCCCATTTGGGGCTCAGCAGCCTGCTACAGTTGTCAGAAGACTGCAAAGTAATGAAGACTAATAGGTAGCAGCCCTAGTCTTCTAAGCATGGAATTTTTATTGCAGTGAACTTGTCATCTTTCTTTTGTGTGACAGACCTAGACACAGTGCGCAGTATTAACTGCAAGCCGTTTTTATAGCTTTCCGAATGCTTTTACTTTTTAGCCAGAGGAGTTATGAAGATGCGGTTTTATTTAACTTTGATTAGAAGAAGAGTAATTGGCATAAAGCTCAAGTGTTTGGTTTTCAATTGTGAGCGTTTTTATCGTACGTCGCTGGTAGTGTATGATAAATGCAATTGCATTTGCAGGAGAAATATTCCTGGTACTTCAAAAAAAATATAGCAGGTTTTCTAGCCTAGCTCCATAACAATTATACATTTGCTCCTTCTTTTGCATGTAAGCAATGCAACTTGGGGTGACTTACAGTTGTGGGTGAATAGACACGCTTTTTGTAATTGTGATTTTTCTTTTTTCTTTGAACAGAAGACCAGATTTTGCTCTCTGATAATGCAGCTTCCCTTGCTGTTCAGGTAACGTCATCTCTTCTAAACTAAAGATGTTATTTCTGTTTTAGGTTCTGAATGATTTTCTTTTAGCTACAATGTTTGTATTTACCCAAATGAATGATTTAAGAATTAATCATAAGCAGTGTGTCTGATTTGCTTCGTGTTGTCATTGAAGTGCCAGAGCCTAAAGGACACGTGGGTTTGGGCGTTCTTTCCAGAGTGCTTGCGCTTGTATTTATGCTGTGTTTTATCTATGGTATCTGCTTATCTTCCTCATCTGGGACCCTGTGGGGTGCCCCTGTTGTCAGTTGGGGTGCCAGTTCCCCTTGTAGCCCCCTGCATGATGCTTGCTGCTATTTCATTCTCAGACCTACTGCTGCCCCCAGCTCCAGGCAGATGTGCTGTGGGCATCAAACCTCCATGTGTCTCTGGTGAAATTGAGGAGAGCTTTCATATATACGTAGTAGAGATCCAATGTGGTTTGTAGAAATAGTCCATACAATTGACAAATTTGCATCTCTAACTGACTTAAAAGCACCTCTGTGGCTGTGAAGTCTGTGTAAACTCCATTAACCTGTTAGGTTCAGTCACCCCAGATCTCGAGGGAATGTGCTCCCTTTAGCAGATAGGGTCAGGCTGTCAGAAGTGGTGGTGGGCAGGATGTCTGTCAGGTTCCTGTTCAAAGTAGCTTTGCTGCTGCTTTGTGTAGCAGGGAGCTGCACTGTTCCCCTGCTTCTTACTTTGGTGTGTGGTCTGGCTTGGCTGCTGTCAGCCAAGAGCTAGGGGTCTCTTAGGGCTGTCCAGGGGGTCACTTCTCATTTAGCCTCGTGGGACACTGGAGACTGTAACTGACATTACTGGTAAAAATATTGGGATTATATGATCATATTAACTACTGACTGGATCTCTAACATTTTTTCCTCCCAGTCTGGCAATGTAGGAAATATCTGTAAGAGTAAATTCTATCAGAACAAAAGCTATCTTTGTCTTGTGCTAGAAAAATGAGTCATCTTTGATATATCAAATAAACGGGGCAATTTTTTTTTTTTTGGTTGGTGTGTTTTATATTGTGTCTCATAATAAAGCAAATAAGTGCTTTTGTTGCTCCCTTGATTTCAGCGTTCCTTTTTACTCCAGAATCCTGTATTTTTTGTGGTTCTTGTATATTTTCTTGCCATGTAGCAATGCACATAGGTGTGGTTTGCATTAAAAAACACACAAACAAAAGAAACAATAACATAACCCTAAAATTTCCTTTCCTAATGCATCATTTTACTTTACTGTATCCAGCCCATTGTTATCCTACACATGTCACTTAGATGATAAATTAACTATAATATATTAAAAACGCTTGTTTTTCTTCAATATTCTCTAGCTGGACAGCTGATAGTAGCCATGACTATAAATACAGCTCTGGTAGATATCTGATCTTCAACTTTATAGAACAATTTTCTATTGGGGAATCATATCTATTTAGAAGAACCTGTGTAACAAGGTTGTGACTGTGAAAGAATAGTTATCCTTGGTGTATGCAATCCAATTTGAAATGCGAGGAGCTGTAGTTATGTGTTACCAGCTAAGAGATCAGAAAGCTGTGACTAGACCAGTGTAGTTTGCATAAGGAAATTGCTGCATTCCTCTGGTTCGGAAATGACATTTTATGCTGATAGGAGCCTGTTTATCTTTTTACTGGATATCTCTCCCTCCTGCTCCCCCTTCCCTGCGGAGGAAATGGAAGCAGTGGATAGGAAGAGAAATAGGAGCTGGTACCTGGGGCTTTTTTTCCGCCACAGTTGCCATTCCCTTTCCCCTGTTAGGGATTCTGGGCACGTGACTATCACAGAGCAGGGCATGGGTTGGTCGTGGCCTGATGAACTTTCATGTGATGGAAATGCACTGGAATTTTGAATACGTCTGCTCAAAAGAGCGTGTGGAGTCAGCAGCCATCAGGTCCCTAAGGAACATGGTTCATGTGGGGACACTGGTTGTGCTGGAACTGGTCCTCTGCATCTTTCTCCGAGTCCCCTTACAACAGCCCTGTGTTACACTGCTCTGAAGTAGCTCTTGGAAAACAGATACACAGAGAGTTACATCTAAAATAAGGAAAAAATCCAAGGCCATAGGAAGTAGCCACATGCAGTGCAAGTGGGGAGGTCGGAGTATGCTGGGTATTGCTGAGCAGCTGTATTGGCAGTGTCCTCAGTAGTTAACAAATAAACAAATGCCTTTTCTCTTGCGGAATTTTAGCTGATCCTGGTGGGTTGGTTTGTTGTTTTTTAATTCCTCTTCTACCCATGTTCTCTAATTCTTCTGTCCTCTTCTACCATTGTTCCTGGAAACACGCCGAGTGAAGAATTCCTTCCTCTTTTCCAGTGTGCAGATTCTTTGAATTTGCTGAAAATGCAACATCACTTGAAATGAGCTAGTGCATTGTCTCATGTACTACTTGGTGTTTGCACTCCTTGCTTGAAGGATTTTATTATATGGTCCTGTTGAGAAGGAAGGCTGCAGAACCTTGATATTGAATGCAGTGCTATTTTCACTTCAGGGGAATTACTGCTTTGCCCTGATTTTAATCTCAGCAATGATTTTCCAGCTTCAGGAATGAGAACGTTGCATTTAGAATGAAGACTGTTCTTCTCGTGAGATGCTTGGCATTGTTCTCGTTAATGAATATACATATACTTCCTGGGCACTGTGACTCACAGGTAAAAGCATTCTCCCCTTGTTTACTGTACAGCTTCCAAAGTACAGCATTGCTGCTTATCAGTCTTGCCATTCTAAAAAAGTCACCAAAACTCAGAATCAAGCACACAGCTATAATTCAACCCCTGAGCAGCTCCACTTTTAAAGGAGGTAGAGATGGAGTTACTATTTAAAATGATAGCCTGAGAAATTGAGATTTATTATGTCATACTCGGGTAGTGTAAGAACACATTTAACAAATTGATACTATCTTTGCTTTAAAAAGCTGCTTCATTTCAAATTCAGTAGATTGCTATGCATTCCATTCTGTGAATAATTACAAGGAGCTCAACGGACTGCTGTTGGAAATCTAATCTAGAGGTGTGGGCCTTTTTGTAAGGAAGGGGCCATCCTAGGAATTCTGAGGTCTTAAACTCAGATTTTTGTACAACTTCTACCTGCTGTGTCCTGTGTTTAAGACAAATTCTGATTTGGAAGAGAACTGTGCGTGCTGGGAATGCATTTATAGGGGTTTCTGGTTATCATTGTCAGACCATGGATAGGAGAGAGGGGGAAATGAAAATTATGAATGCTCATTCTCAGTGATAAAATGCTGTCTGTATTTGCAACCAGTTTATTATTATTTACAATTATTTATTTACACTTGTCAGCAGTTCCCTTGAGGCGCAGCTCTGCCTATTGGTTCTGTAAGTGTGGTGTTTTCAGGCATTTGCCACCCATGGGCCATCAGAAGATGGCATGTGTATAAGCTTCTGAGCACAGTTTCTTGCAACAGGATTTTTCAGTGAGTAATTGCATTCCTCTCCTCACTGATGAGGGTGTTACCTCACCTTGGCTGGCTCTTACTTTGCTTACCCGTGGTGGCAAAGGCCACCAACTTGTGAGCTATCCTGGTGGGAGAGCAGTCTGTGGTTGTGGCACTGAGGGACGTGGTTAGGAGACATGGTGGGTGTGGGGTGATGGCTGGGCTTCATGACCTTGGAGGTCTTCTCCAGCCTTTGTGATTCTGTGGAGTTAAGATGTAGATTACGGTTGCTTCTGCAAAGGTTAGTTGTTAGAGCCGAGGACTTCCAGATGGCGAATTGGGTCTGGTGTGTGTGTTGCTATGTTTATGCTTTAGGATGCTGCTGCATTTGTAGCTGGATTGGTGGATTACATAGATAGGTGGATTACAGTTTTTTCATCTACTTTCAGCCGCAAGCTTGTACTAAAACTAAATAACCGTAGCAGACGGTCTCAGTGTGAAGCGGAGGGCCTGCCCAGGCCCCGTCCCCCTGCTGTACCTGGTGCAGGTGAAGGCTGGTGGGGTTGGGGCAGGGGAGGGGACGGTGGGCGCACACAGCTGTGCTCTGCAGGCCTGCGGCTGCAAGTACAGCAGCAGCATCTCTGCGTGCTGCCCCGGCTTGTCGGGGGGAGGAATGCGAGCGTTTCGGCTGCTTCTGTCATTACAGACTCTTCTGAAATATTTATGCGGGTAGCGGTGGAGTCTTGCTTAAAAGGCTGTCAAAAATGTTCACGACTGTGGAAATTCTCACAGCTGTCCCGAGGTTATATAGCCAGCAGCTCATTACGTTAAGATATGTATTAATTGCTTGTGCAATTGATGTCCTTGTAAGTGATCTTAATATATTCCAGGAAAGTGCGTTCAGAATTGTCTGTTCTTAGTCCTGAATGACAGAAGGATGTTTGGGCAATTTAAAATTGTGTTACATAGACTAACTGCTTATTTACTTCAACAAGTAATCAAATGAATGTGTAAATCACTCATGATTAATTGCTCTCTACACATTTGTGATTTTTTTTTTTTTTGGTGTATGAATTGTGGTTTGGTTTTTCCCTAGACAAAATGTGAGGAGAAATGTGAACTTGTTGCTGGGGTTGAACCAAGGCTGAGTAGAGAAATGAAAATCTGACCTTTTTTTTTTTTTAAGAGGATAAAAACCGGAATTCTTCACCATGAGAAATGCAATATCAACATAATCAATCTGGCAGCATTATGTTGTAGCTGAAAACATGCCTAAATCCCAAGCCGTAGAGGTACTGTTTGTGAGTGAAACATCTTTCATATAGTTCTAAGATGAAATTACCCCTGAATGAATAGCATCTTCATTTATCTTCAAAACCTCTGTGCTACCATTGAATCTACTCCTTCCACGTTCTACAACAAGAATTACATTATACCATTAGAACAGTGCTGTGCTGCAGTGTAAAATAGATTGTTTTGGAGAATGAACGTGGCTTTGCTATAAATTATGTTCACAGGTACAAAGGAATTTGTTATTTTGTTTAAAATAGTCACAAATATAATTAAGCTCTTA